GCTAGTGTCTTTGTTAAACCCAGTGAATAATTAATGAGAGAAGCCAAGTGGAGATGGAGAGGAGCGATTAATTAATTTATAGCGTAAACAATTTTAGCATCTTCACTACTTACATCAAGGATGTGGCATGGAACAATCAGCTCAAAGCAATTAATCCTACTGGTACTTACAGACTTTCTTGCCACTGAACCACTAACAGTATGCGTAAGCGTACTCGCTGTCACTGCAGCTTGGCTTGTGATCGTCCTTGGAGCACACTGTTGAGGTGCTGTGTGTTCAGTGAAAGATGCCGCTTCTGCTGCGGAGGCTGCAAAACCCTGGTTGTCATTGGGGGCTTGGTTCTCTGTGTTGCCTGCAATTAGGACACAGCTTGTAGAGTTAATGAGAAAGTGAAACATAACACGTTGTATTTGTTCTATTAGGAAAGCATCATATTTTATAATATTTACATGTTATAGTAATACTGTTTTTTGATATAAAAAAAATAGCATGATTTATTTGTAATAAAGTGATTTTCAATTACTACTAGTAAATCATGAATACAGTTGAAAGAAAAACAGTCCATTGTTATAAGGGCTAAACAACATAATATCAGCCCTAATTAAAACTAAAATTAGAGCCTTTATGGTAATTAATAACAACCACATGACTACCGCTACAATTTGAAAATTTCATTGTAAAAGAGAATTTCGTTACTACAACGTTCACTTATAATTTGTGAAATAAACCAGTAGATAAGTTGCCATGGCTACAACAGGCAGCATTGATATCACATAACTTCACTCTATTTGGCATTTGCCCTACCTTCATTTTCATGGAACATAGACATAGCTTCTAGGTTGAGGGCGCATACACCTCGCATGAAAGCCTTTTTCATTGTCTCTTCATACTGGTCTCTCTCTGCATGTAATCGTTGTACTTCATTTCTTGATGACTCTAACGCTTCATTTATCTGGAAATCAAAACGCAAACAAGCTCTGTTACAGCGCCCTCAGTGTGTAATATCATATGAACTTTTCTCTATTTAGCAGCAGTGGGGAAGATTCAGCCTTAGGCATTCGCTGTATCGTACTTGATGATACTAGTGCATGTTCAAATTTTGATAAACAAAATTTTTATTTTCATTGGGAAAGACAGGTTAAAATTTAGAGTTATAGAAATTCTGGAAATCTTCCTGAGTGGTAGAGACCTGACAGCTGGTATTAGATATTCATGAGATGCATAAATTATTCAAATCAGGAATACTCACATGCATCTCAAGGCAAATTGTCAGGTTTTGTCATC